CCCCCAAAACCCCAAAACCCCAAAACCCCGTGGGAATTCTAGAACATTGAAATAATCTAATTTGTAGCATTAAGTGGTTAAACCTTGTATTATCTCCACACTGTGGCCTCTTGAGCTGGAGTCTTTCTTTGCTTCTTTGTTAAGCTCTGTATTTTCTGGTAAAGTTCTGAAGGATGATGGGAATCTTACCCTCTTCTCTAAACTTTTTAGAGAACTTGACTTTCTTAATGAATTCTTCAGAGTTGCCTCTTTCTTTATTTATCAAACCTCACTTTGTACTTCAGCTTAGTTTCTTTGACTTGGAACTCGGGATTCCAATAAATCCTGATTCTTGCGAAATATCTTAATTTGCTGCACAAATAAGATACAAAACGTACCCTTTCTCAGAAATCTTGAATGGGTGCTTGGACCTGACTCTCACTGGATTCCTGTACTTTGAAAGTAGTTTGAACTCAACCTTCGAGACCAGAAACGAAATTTCGTCTTTAGTCAAGCCTGGGAAGTCAACGTACAAGTTGTAAGAATACACTGGAAGAGCCTGGTTTTCGTTGATGCACTGGGAAGGGTATGCTAGCTTGCATGTGTTCCCACACACTACCTTGAAATTGGTTATTGGAATTTTTGGTTTGTACTTTTTGATCAGTTTATCAATAGCTTTCTTTCTCTCTTCGTACTGCTTCGGATAAGCCTTTTTGATTTCTTTCAATAGTTGAACAGCTATTGGCAACAATCATTCAAAAGGTCATGATTTAGAAAAGTACTGGTGTAGATAAACAATAAAACCAACGAAAGAATGTTATTTTAAACAAAAGTTGACTTACCTGGCTTAGCTCTAATAAGATGGAGGAATACCTTCCTTCACATTGGGCACTTGTATTGGCGACTATACTTATTTGTAGTTCTCAATGCATAGTTTGCAGACAATGTGCTTTCACTCCAGAACCAGAGGGTTCACAAAGATCTCAAGTCATATTGGTCACCTAAAAAGTAAAAGAAGTGAATTACAAGTGGTCAAATTTAATTCCAGCAGAGATGTTCATATCTTTTCTGCTTTGGTCAGGTTTCAGAAGAGCAATTTCTTCTTCATCAAGCTCTTGTTCTGAATCAGAGTCAGATTGCTCTTTTTCTTCTTCTATTGGACAGATGGTCTGGTTTAGCATATTAGATTCAAAATCAGCTTCGCATCTTTCTAATGATTTAAACAGGAAAGGCGCTATCTCTTCGTCAGTAATTGTATAGCTCCAATCTTCTACTTCTGTTTCAACTTTGACAAACTTCTGTTCCTCTTTCTTCTCTGGGGACTCAAAGAATATGTTCGTTAGAGGAGACTCTTCTTCAGAATTGTAACCTTCTGTATAAAATGTTATCAATCAGAGTTAGTTATCTTGGTCCTCAAAAGACGCTTGCAAACATAATACATTATCATGGCTACATATGGATACATATTCTTAGCTGTGACCATAACTAGGATATTTGACTATCTTGGTCGACTAAAGTTACCTGTATAATTAGTATCTTCCATATTTCCAAATTTAAATTTATAAAAGTTCGCAAATTCTCCATTTCAATCTTTGAGACTCCTCATGGGGTTTTGGGGTTTTGGGGTTTTGGGGTTTTGGGG